GCGCCACTTCCAGTTTTTTGATGGTTAATTGGAGAGAAAAGTCTCACAGACTTTCCTGCCCGAACTGGCTTTGAGCCATAATCCTCAGATCTCAGCCTTCTGAGTAGCTAGGATACAGGCGTGAGCCACCACTGCCCCCTACCGGCACCCAGCCTTTATATTTATTTTTGAGTACTGAGGTATAGGCCCTCTTTTCATCCTCTGGTAATGCTTTGAGGCAGGCAGAACAACCTTGCTTTTCCACATGAGAAAAGCAAGTCTTGGAGAGAGGAATGGCATAACACAAGGGCACACAGCTGGTGTCCAACAGAGCCAGGATTCTAAATCAGAATCTAGGCCCTTCCCGTTGCCCGGCACAGGTGTGGGTCTTATCTCTCTTTTTCTCTCTACAGATCTCTTTCTCTTTTCATGTTCGATGCTGTCCCATCATCTGACAAGCCCTCATCTTTCCCTTCTCTAACTTTCCTTTCTTTGTTAAAGCATTTTTTTTTCTTTGTCTCCATCTACCAGTTCCATCCATGGCTCTGTATAACTCCGTGTCCCTCTAGGTTTTGTGTTGTTTTGTCTAGCAGTACTTAATGTCTTTCTACTTGCTCAGCTGGCACTCTACTACTTGAGCAATGCTTCCATCCCTGATTTTTGCTGGTTATTTGGAGATAGAATATAACAAACTTTTTTCTGTCCCAACTGGCCTTGAACTACAGTTTTCCAGATCTCAGCCTCCTGAATAGCTACAATGACAGCAGCTACCAGCTTGCAGCTTTTCTCCTGTCTTGAAAGGAACTGTTGCCAAGGGGCCTGTGGCTGGAGAAATTCCTCCCACCCCAGGGGGAGGGGTGCCAGCAGGTGGCAGGCAGCCATTGTGAACTTCCCCACAGGAGTCCGTGCCAGAGAGGAGGAGCTGCAGAGGGAAACAGGACTCCCAGTCACCACCCATTGGGCGCCCTGACAGTGTGTGTCTCGCTCTTAGTTCATGGGGATTTCATAGCCATCTTCCATTCTGCTTTTTCACTTAAAGCCAGGAAGCTCAGCCGCTAAGGGACCTGGGGAATATAAAGTTCCCTTCAGAAATGGGAGTCTGCACTTAAGACCCTAGAGGGAAGAGGTAGGGGAAATGTCTGGTATTTCCTGTTAGCATCTAGAATCTTTGCCTCCCTGCTGGCCCTAGCTGTGTCTCTGAATCCCTTCCTGCTTCCTTGATGAGCAGCGTGGGGACCACAGGACATGAGCAGGTGGCTAATGGAAGACCCCAGATGCTTTCCCAAGGCCATCATCCTGGCTGTGGGCAGGGGTGAACTCACATCCCTGTTCCTCAGCCTGTGCCAATGGCCACCATCTAGAGTGTTCATTCAGATGCAAATGGCTAAATTGCTTTATCGTGGCAGCCCCAATGCCCCCCACTTCCCCTTTCTCATGGGCTCATTCTCATATGCATATTCGCTTCTGGGAAGGTCAGGGGTGGCCAGGACCTCTGGACAAGACTGTTAGCAAAGCACGATGCCCTGCTCTCCAGGGTAAGGGTAAAGCTCTGGGGCTGGGAGGCAGATAGGATTGGAATCCTAGAGCTTTCCTTCTCTAGTTCTGTAGCCCTGGGCAGAGTGCTTAGCATCTGTAGACCTTGGCTTCTTCTCCTGCAGAATGAGACTTAAGTGATACCTCCTGCCTCATGGGGCCATTCCCAGGACTAAATGAGTTAACTGTGGAAAGCCTGGAGAGCTGTGCCCAGCACGTGTCCATAGAGGGGGAGGCAGTGATGTCACCATCCATCTGAATGGTATAACCAATCACGGGCCATTTAGAATAGTGTTTTGAGGGGCCAAATGGCAAAGATGCCCTCGTCCTGGGTGCTCATAGAGCTGAGTCCTCACAGGGGGGAACGTTCTGTGATGGGGGGGATTTGCATCACCTTTGGGCAGAGCAGAGCTGGTATCTGCCACAGGACCCTCAGAGAGGGAAAAGGGACCTGGTGCCAGGCTTACCCATGCCAACTGTCGGGCCCCACGAGTGTGCGATCTCCTTTGTGGACATTTCACAACCAGTTTCAACTCTGCTTTTCCATTTCTAAAAGCCCAGGCAGATGCCAGATGGAAGGAGGAAAGAGCACTGCCAGAGAAGGCAGGGGCTGGGCTCGCTTCCCCTCTCTCCAGGTCCTCAAGCTCCTTCTCTGTCTATAACATTACTGGGCCTGTTTCTCAGTTCTTCCATATCCCAGCAGGTGGGACAAAGCGCCCTCCTCTCCCCATTACAAGCAAACTCTACAAAACCCTCTGACCAGGGAGGGTTGGGCCCGTGGTAAGAGCAGTGGCTTCCTAAGAAGGCCGAGCTCTTTGATTCAAGGCCACGTGTTGCATATGGCACTTAATTTTGTGTAGATCTGTCAATATTGAGTACGCTGAATGGTACATTCATTTCCACTTAAGAGCGCGTGACTGCAGGTTTTTCTACACCCGCCTTGGGGTTGCAGTGGCTATGATGCTACCTAGATCCAGACTTAACACTTAACGAATACCTTCTGCTTGCTGCTGTCTTAAGCGCTCCCTGATCATCCTCTGTAACCTTCCCAGGAGACTAGGCAAGGGGGTGTGATTACACCCATTTTGCAGGCAAGGAAAATCAAGGAGAGATGTGCTGTTTGCCATCACTGCTGGGAATAAGACAGGAGAGCAGGGGTTTGTTTTAATTTTTAAATTGTTGTTATAAAGGTGATGGGCAGAGGAGTTACAGTTACATAAGTCAGGTAAGGAGTACATTTCTTTTTGGACAATGCTACCCTCCCTTGCGCTCCCAGTGTTCCCCTCCCAGCCCACCCACATGTTGTATAGTTCATTTTCAACACAGGGTCTAGCGAGTCCCTCTGCTGCCTTTGTTCACCCTTTGTTCCCCCATTTCCGTGAGGAGGGCAGGTTTTATGTCAAGCTGGTGAGCCAGACCTCCTGACAGATTTAAGGGGGACTTAGAACTGGCTCCTTGGGTATAGAAGGTTAACGAGTCTGAAATGAGAGCCCAAAGGCAAAAACACCTCATGCAGAATGGAGGGGAAACCCAAGAGGAAAGTCCTGAGTTCAGGAGTGATCAGGGGAGGGACTGCCCTCCTCCCAGCATCCTCAGGGGACCTATGACCTGAAAAAAGCCCCAGAGGAAGCAGAGAGGAACCACCCTCCCTGGGCTCTGAGTTTGTCCAGGCTGTTGTTTTGTGGGTTGTTCTCCCCCCCCCCCCCCCCCCAATAACTGCACCTTGGCAGAAATCGAGCAAGTGACTTCTGCCTGCAGTTGGCATGGGCTGTGTCCGGAGCCAGTGTGTGCGACTAGGACACTTTCTTTGGGTTTCTAACCCCCACAAACAGTTCTCCCTGCCCTCCCCCCCCCATGATCTGACCTAGCCTTACTTGGGGTGTGCTGTGTGTAAAAATACACGGGGTTGAGCCATTTCCTGCTGCTTCCGTTGTTGCGTGGTGATAAGGCACAGAAACTCAGCTGTGGACAGAGATTCCCCCAACAGCACAGGGCAGCAGCCCCAGGCCTGGCCGCTCACATCCAACCCCCCAGCCGTCCTTCCTATCTTCTGTGACCTTTCCTGCCTTCCTCCTCCTCCTCATCCCCAGCCTCTCTCCGTCCCTCCCTTCTCCTTCCTTTGAGTTTTGTGCCATCCTGATGTGCTGGGGAAGCCCACCTGCCTGGTGGGGGACAGAGGGGCTCTCAGGGCCTGTCTCCACGTCCTGCTGGTCCCCTCGGACCCCTCCCCCCCAGGCTGCTCCTTGCTTCCCTGGGCTTGTGGGTTACCTCTGGGACTTCAGTTTCTGCTGGCCTGGCGAGCAGGGCGGTGGGCGCCCACTGTCCCATTTCTGGGAGACAGAAGGGCTGGGTGCTCACACCATCATGAAGCGGAAGAGGTTGCGGACAACCTTGGCGAGCTGGAAGGTAACTGAGGATCTGGGAGCCGTGTCAGCAGGGGTGGGTCACCTACACAGCTGTGTTAGTGAAGATGGGGCTGTGGGGAGGGCAGGGCCAGGGGAGGGGCTTTGATCAGCTCTGAAAAGCCCCCTCAAGTGCCTTTTGAATAGGTTAAGTCCAAAGAAACAGTTCATCTCATCCCTGAGAAATCCACCGTGGGACTTTCCACTGAGGCTGCAGCCCGCTGGAGCCCTGCTTGGGTTCCTCCTTGTGTCCAAGCAACAAGGATTCTGGGATGGAGGTTCTTCTTTCTTTCTTTTTGGTCAGTCATGGGGTTTGAACTGTGGGCCTGGGTACTGCCCCTGAGCTGTTTAGCTCAAGACCAGCACTCTGCCTCTTGAGCCACAGTGCCACTTCTGGTTTTCTGGTGGTTTATTGGAGATAAGAGTCTCATGGAGGGGCTGGGAAGGTGGCTCAGTGGTAGAGTGCTTGCCTTGCATGCCTGAGGCCCTGGGTTCGATTCCTCAGCACCACATAAGCAAAATGAAAAAAAAAGCCGGAAGTGGCGCTGTGGCTCAAGTGGTAGAGCGCTAGCCTTGAGCTGAAGAGCTGAGGCACAGCGCCCAGGCCCAGAGTTCAGGCCTCACGACTGGACCCAAAAAAAAAAAGTCTCATGGACTTTCCTTGCCTGGCCTGGCTTTGAACTACCATCCTCAGATCTCAGCCCCCTAAGTATCTAGGATTACAGGAGTGAGCCACTTGCGCCCAGCAGTTCTTTTTCATAGCTGTGTGTCACAGAGTAACTTACTAGACTTCCCTGGGCCAACTGGCAGAGCAGATCTGCCTAGTGTGCGTTTTAGTGTGGGGCTGGAGAGAGAAATGTGGGTATGCTCTAAGCCCCGCCAGCCTAAGCACAATTGCTGAGAGAGTCCTGTTGTTGGTGTTCCTGTAGACTTTTTCCCCTTAAAACTTCCTCTTCATCCTGCAAACGTTTTCCCAGGGGAGACCAAGTCCCGAGGTATGCAGGCCTGCGCTGAGTCCCAGCGACCCCTCCCTTCCCTCTGGGCCGGTGACTTAGCCGGGCTCCTTCTGCTTGCCTCCTTCCCCAGGGTGACAAAGGTGACCTGGCGGCCCTGAGCCTCACTTCCGGCCCTGGCCATGGTGACAGCGATGGCCCCATCAGCCTGGACGTGCCCGACGGGGCGCCGGACCCGCAGCGCACCAAGGCCGCCATCGATCACCTGCACCAGAAGATCCTGAAGATCACCGAGCAGATCAAGATCGAGCAGGAGGCGCGGGACGACAACGTGGCGGAGTACCTGAAGCTGGCCAACAACGCGGACAAGCAGCAGGTGTCGCGCATCAAGCAGGTGTTCGAGAAGAAGAACCAGAAGTCGGCCCAGACCATCGCCCAGCTGCACAAGAAGCTGGAGCACTACCGGCGGCGCCTGCGGGAGATCGAGCAGAACGGGCCGTCCAGGCAGCCCAAGGACGTGCTGCGGGACATGCAGCAGGGGCTCAAGGACGTGGGCGCCAACGTGCGCGCGGGCATCAGCGGCTTCGGGGGCGGCGTGGTGGAGGGCGTCAAGGGCAGCCTGTCGGGCCTGTCGCAGGCCACGCACTCGGCCGTGGTGTCCAAGCCCCGCGAGTTCGCCAGCCTCATCCGCAACAAGTTCGGCAGCGCGGACAACATCGCGCACCTGAAGGACCCCCTGGAGGACGCGGGGCCCGAGGAGGCGGCGCGCGCGCTCAGCGGCAGCGCCACGCTCGTGTCCAGCCCCAAGTACGGCAGCGACGACGAGTGCTCCAGCGCCAGCGCCAGCTCGGCCGGCGCGGGCAGCAACTCGGGCGCCGCGGGGCCGGCGGGCGCGCTGGGCAGCCCGCGCGCCAACGCGCTGTACGGCGCCCCCGGGAACCTGGACGCCCTGCTGGAGGAGCTGCGGGAGATCAAGGAGGGCCAGTCCCACCTGGAGGACTCCATGGAGGACCTGAAGACCCAGCTGCAGAGGGATTACTCCTACATGACCCAGTGCCTGCAGGAGGAGCGCTACAGGTAGGGGGCAGGAGGCCGTGTCACCCCGGGGCTGCCGGAGGTCTGATCGCATGGGGACCTCTTGGCTTACGTGGGTGAGATGGGTGTCCAGAAGGGGAAACCGAGGCAGACCTCTCGCCTACCGCAGAGTCTGGCCAGATCACCGACTCTGAGGCAGCTTACCTCCTGCTGCGTTCAAGTATTTTACCGTATAACCCGAGCCAAGGGATGGTTAGCTCTGGGCACAGGGAGGGTAGCGCTGTTCTTTATACCTCCACGAGGCTCTAAGGGAGACTGAATGGAGCCAGACTTCCTTGAGTGCCTATGTATGTAGCATGGACCGTTCCAACACCCAGGGGATACACTGAAGGCCAGTTTGGGATTGAGCCCAAGTCAGGTCCCCCTCCCAACAGCCTCTGATATGACACTTGCTCCCTGAGAGTGTGGGGACCTTTTCCTTGCTTGGTGCTTTTTCCTCTTAGGAAGGTTTGTGGAATTAAGGGGGGGGGGCGCAGAGGCCAGGCACCTGTGACTCACACCTGTAAGCCTAGCTGCACAAGAGGCTTAAGATCTGAGGAGTGTGGTTCAAAGCCAGCCCAGGCAGGAAAGTCCATGAGACTCTTATCTCCAATGAACCACTAGAAAACCAGAAGTGATACTATGGCTCAAAGTGGTAGAGAGCAGAAAAGCTCAGGGACAACACCCCAGGCCCTGAGGTCAAGTCCCACAACTGACAGAAAAAAAAGGGGGGAGAGGGATGGGAATCCCATCCAAAATAAAACTAACCACCCCCACATTACAGTCGTCTTGATATTTGTCCATTTCATAGCGTGTCCTGTATACCCTGGTACTCCTGCTACCCCAGAGAGCCTCTCACCCAGGGTATGAGAGCCCAGTGTGAAGTCTTTTATTCCCTCATTCATGAATTGTGTGATTCGTGTGATTCTCTGGGCAGTTTCCTTCATCTCTGGGGGCTGGCAGATGAGAGGGATGCTGGCCCGCACTGTCTTATGGGACATGAGGAACCTAACACACCATGCAGGTAGAACGCCTGGCCCAGCACCTGAGTGCACCAGTGCAAGGCCCAGGAGGCCCTTGGTGCCCACAAGTATGTGGTTCCAGGACGCACTGTTGAGGGAACAGGGCACATGCTCAGGATGCACAGCTCAGCACTGCATGGGCTTGATTCATTTTTCCCAAAACTTGGTCCGACTTCCCCTGAAGACATGCCGCCTTTCACCGGATCTCAAATATTCAGCAGGTCACTTAAATTAAACACATTACATACCCTTTTTTGGCTTGGGAGGATTGTCATAACTTTTTACTTTGCTTTGCGGGTACCATCTGCATTTTGGGAGGGCAGATTTTCACAAAATTAATGTCAGGGAGACACTCAGCAGGTCACACAATTTAAACACAACTAAGGATGATGCGGCACAGACGAAGCTCTGCGTATCCACGGAGCTGAGGAATGAGCCTGTGGGATTTTTTTTTTGGACAGTCATGGGGCTTGAACTCAGTACCTGGGAGCTGTCTCTGAGCTTTTCTGCTCAAGGCTAGCACTCTACTACTTGGAGCCACAGTGCTACTTCCGGTTTCCTGGCGGTGAATTAGGGATAAGAGTCTCATGGACTTTCTCATCTGGGCTGCCTTTGAGCCTCTCGAGTAGCTAGGATTACAGGCGTGAGCCACCATTGCCTGGCACCCTGTGGGAATTTTAACATTTTTGGTTTTGAAATTTCATTTATTTACTTAGGTGCCAGTACAGGGGCTTGAACTCAAGGCTTTTCACTCTCCCTTGGCTTTTTCTACTCAAGGCTGGTACTTACCACTTGATTCACACCTCGATTTCCAGCTTTTTGCTGGTTAATTGGAGATAAGAGTCTCATGGCTTTTTTTTTTTTTTTTGTCGGTCATGGGGCTTGAACTCTGGGCTTGGGCGCTGTCCCTGTGCTCTTCAGCTCGAAGCAAGAGCTCTACCTCTTGAGCCACAGCACCACTTCCGGTTTTCTAATAGTTTATTGGAGATAAGAGTTTCAGGGACTTTTCTGCCAGGGTTAGCTTCGAACTGTGATCCTCAGATCTCAGCCTCCTCAGTAGCTAGGATTACAGCTGTGACCACCATTGCTGGTCTTGAGTTTTTTATTATTATTTTTGTGACAGCACTTAATGGAAACCACGTGTAATAATAAACCTGTGAATAAGGCAGGCTTCCTCTCAATGGCAAGCCCCATTGCCGTGGGGTTGAAATTAGAACGGGGAGGGGGGGGGCTGGGAAGGTGGCTCAGGGGTAGAGTGCTTGCCTCGCCTGCATGAGGCCCTGGGTTCGATTCCTCAGCACCACATAAGCAGAAAAAAAGCCACAAGTGGCGCTGTGGCTCAAGTGGTAGAGCGCAGGCCTTGAGCTGAATTGCTCAGGCCCAGAGTTCAGGCTCCACGACCAATAACCCCCTCCCCCTCAAAAAACAATGAGAACAGGGCCGGACACATGCGTAGGCTGTACGTGTCACTGTTCGCTGAGGGAGTGGTGGCGTCTTGAGGAGAGGACGGTGGCGTTGGAGCAGGCTGGGGTCACCTCTTCTCCTGCCCCCTAGGTACGAGCGGCTGGAGGAGCAGCTCAACGACCTGACTGAGCTTCACCAGAATGAGATGACCAACCTGAAGCAGGAGCTGGCCAGCATGGAGGAGAAGGTAGCCTACCAGTCCTACGAGAGGGCACGGGACATCCAGGTATGGCCAGGGGTGACCCTGGGGAGGCCTCGGGTGTGCCGGTAGAGCACGGGGGTTTGCAATCACATGGGGGCAAGGGGCCCAGCAGAGCAGAGCAGACAGGGCAGCGTGGAGATAACCAGGCAGGCCTGCAGCCGAGCATGCGCACTGCACAAAGGCAAGCTGGTGGGTGAGAGCTGCCCCTCTCACTCCCCCCTATTCTGGTGGTGGCCTGGCACATAAAATAACTGGGATTTCCAGTCCTTGGCCTTCTTTGACAGGGAGCTGGGATGGGGCTAGCTCCTCTCCTTCCCATATCAACCAAGACTTCTGCTTCTATTTTTTTGCTTTTGTTGGTCATGGTGCACACAGTGCCACTTCGGGTTTTCTGGTGCTTTATTGGAGATGGACTGCCCGGGCTGGCTTTGAACCATGATCCCCAGATCTCAGCCTCCTGAGTAGCTTAGGATTACAGGCGTGAGCCACCAGCACCTAGGGAGTCGAGTTCTGTTTCCTTGCATCCTACCAAATAGTGATCAGAAAGGGCTTTGCTCCCATCTATAGCTACCCATCTAGGCCCTCTTGGCCTTTGGAGAGAGGATCCTGTGTATTTTCGCCCTCCCCCAGTGGAGTAGTGTATTAATCCGTTTTCTACTGCTATGACAGCATGCCTGTGCTGAGGTAATTTGTAAGGAGAAAAGGTTCACCTAGCTCACAGCTCCAGAGGTCTCGTTCTATGCCAGCTTCTGTCCAGTGCTGATGATGCCATCCTAGTGGATAGCATGGCAGGAGCTGTGTAGAGAAGACCACATGGTAAGGCCGAAACGCAGGGAGAGACAGGGTTCTGACTTGCTCTTCTACAACAACCCACTGTCACAGGGAGTACCTGGCTCCAAGAGGCCATCTTTAATCCCCTCTGAAGGCAGCACCCCCCAGTAACCTCATTGCTTTTCACCAAGTCCCTTCTTTGGTTTTGTTTTGTGCAAGTCCCGGGGCTTGAACTTGAGGCCTGGGCGCTGTCCCTGAGCTTCTGAGCTCAAGGCTAGTGTTCTGTCACTTGAGCCACAGCTCCCACTTCCAGCTTTTTGGGTGGTGTTTTGGGGATAGGAGTCTCATAGACTTTTCGACCCGGGCTGGCTTCGAACCTCAATCTTCAGAGCTCAGCCCCCTGAGTAGCTAGGATGACATCAGGAGCCACCCAAGCTCCCTCTTAAAGGTTCCTTCCAATATCGCCACATTGGGGACCAGGCTTCCTCAAACCCTATGCAAATCATGGTGGGCCGGAGGGACTCAGCCTAGGGCTCCCACCCATCCTGAGCCCCCCCGCCCCCGTGCTACCGTCTGTGCCCGAACAGGAGGCTGTGGAGTCCTGCCTGACGAGAGTCACCAAGCTGGAGCTGCAGCAGCAGCAGCAGCAAGTGGTGCAGCTGGAGGGCGTGGAGAACGCCAACGCGCGGGCGCTGCTGGGCAAGTTCATCAACGTGATCCTGGCGCTCATGGCTGTGCTGCTGGTGTTCGTGTCCACCATCGCCAACTTCATCACGCCCCTCATGAAGACGCGCCTGCGCATCACCAGCACCGCCCTCCTGGTCCTCGTCCTCTTCCTGCTCTGGAAGCACTGGGACATCCTCACCTACCTCCTGGAGCACGTGCTGCTGCCCAGCTGAGCAGCCGGCCCCGCCCCGCCCGCCCCGCCCTCTCCAGGAGGGACCCTGGGACTCGTGTGTCCCTTGGACTTCGTTTGTGTGTTGGGTTTGGCCTCTTGCCCAAACTGTCCATTTGGCAGCTTCTGCCCTTTCTCTGTACTTGCTTATGTCCAACACCTTCTCCCTGTTGGCCCCGACTGGAGGTAGAGGGAACACCTTGGCCAAATGAAGCAGAGGAGGACGCCAGGGCTGATTGTTTGGATTATTCAGTCACGCAGAACATCTCCCAACTGGCCTTGGGATGGCTCAGGTCAGGAAGGCCACTAAGACAGGAGAAAGCCAGCTCTCCCTGGGCTTCCCCCAGGAAAGGCCCAACCCTGGGGACCCGCCGCAGCCCCTTCCAGTGGAGATAGTCAGGATGGAGGCTGGCCCCAGCGAGCACAGGATGGAGTGGGGCGCAGTGTTCTGGTCTTTCAGGGCCAGTGTGCAGCCACTTGGGAGCTCAGTCTATCCTTTACCCCTCTTCTGGGTTTTGAGGCTGGCATCCAGGGCTGGGCTGTTTCTGATTGGCAGGATGCAGGCTCTGGATGCAGGCCCAGTGGCGTGTGACTTTGAATTTGGGTTTTCCCTGCTCACCTTTCTGCCCACCTTGTCACTGGATCTGCTATTTTCAGGGAAACAGGCCCCAGAGGCATGAGCCTCAGCCCAAGCCCTTAGGCCTCTGGGAGCAGGTAGGGTTCTATCTATTTATTTATTTATTTCCAGTCCCATCCTATCCTATCCCCGTATCTGCCCCACTGGGCTCCAGGGAGAGGACTTATCCCTTCTCCCTCTGAAGCCAGGGCTGATTCTCAGCTCATTGCACTTCCATACCTTGTAGCCTCTCCTAGCTGGGGGGCGTGACCACCCGGCATCTCCCAGGCATCCCCACGACTGGGTGGGAGGAACGTGGCCTCTCTTTTATATATGTCTATTTATTTTATATGTGTGTATTTGTGGAGGAAGAGGTGGTTTATTGATTATTTTTTTAAGGCTCTGGAGCGGTGTGTATAGTTTCTCTGCACATCCCCGCTTCCCCATGGGCACTTCCAAGCACAGAGGGGTCTTCTCGCACAGGAGAGAGGAATCCCCTAGGGAAGAGAGAGCGGTGCCCGCCAGCTGTTGTGGACCATCCCAAGAAATAAATATCCTCTAAATTTTCAAACCATCCTGTCTGGTGTTGGTTAATTAGGGTATCTCCATGGAAATCTTTAGATCTATGCTTTGTGGACCTCGTTTGCTGGCTGGGGTGGACCTTATTTGCTGGCCTGAGGCCTTCCTGTATTGCACCAGGCATCATCCACCCTTCCCAATTTGTTTTTTGCAGCCAACACTCTGGCCTATGATAGGATACTCATCCAGCTTCATCCCCCTTCCTGGAACCTTCCCAGCAGGAGGGAAATTGGAAGATGCAGTTTATCTCAACAGATCTACAGCTGGGAGGCTTGCATCATAGCAGTCATACACAGGTTTGGCCACAAGAGGGCAGCAGAGCCCCCACTTTGCCAGTGCTTTCCAGAGCCCCGGCTCTCCAGGAACAGCAAGCTAGTCTGCATAGACTCCCAGTCCCTGTGTCTACTCTGAAAGCCTGACTCCCAGTAGGAACCCCGTGGAGTTTGGGTGAGGTCCCAGAGTCTCCTTTCTGGGAAGAGACCAAGTTGACCTCTAATGCTTTGGCCACAGCAGGGGTTGTGAGAAATGGACCCAACCCAGAGCTCCCAGTCCTGGTTCCTGACCTATAATTAGCACACTTGTGGCCAATTTACCCCATATCTGAACCTCAGTTTCCACATAAGATATCTGCTCCCTTCAAGGGCCAGGATGTTCTGTGGAACTGACAAGTTAAAAAGCAGTAACTGGGCACCAGTGATAACATGCTTATAATCCTAGCTACTCAGGAGACTGAGATCTGAGGATCACAGTTCGAAGCCGGCCCAGGCAGGAAAGCCCATGAGACTCTTCTCTAGTTAACCACCCAAAAAGGCAGAAGTGGAGAATGGCTCAAGTGGTAGAGCACGAGTCTTAAGGGGAAGGAAAAAAAAAAAAAAAGCTCAGGAATAGTGCCAGGCCCTGCATTCAAACCCCAGGACCAGCACATGTGCGTGCAGGTGTGCGCACGCGTGTGCGCACACACACACACACACACACACACACACACACACACACACACACACACAAGCTGCAGCTATCCCTTTGGCTTCAGGCTCAGGGACTCCGGGACTAATGGCAGTGGCACAGGTGCTGCACTGCAGCAGCAGAGCTAAGTGTTCAGAGTTTGACCCTCCTGGTCCAAGGTCCAACCCCAGGCTGGAGCTCAGGTGACCTTAGGAGGCCTTCATCAGTATCATTCGTGGACCTTGCACCCCCTTTTTTTCCAACCACATGCACATACCTCTCTTGGGGGCCCACATTCCTGGCCCCAGGTAGGGGGTGGCTGCTGTAGGCTGCAGACATTTCCGGCATTCCTCCTCAAGGTCAGGTGCCTTCCCCGAATTGGTTCTTAAATGTCACTGGCAGCCCTAGTCCACACTGGAGGGAGGGGCGGAGAAAGGGGGGTCATTCCGGGCTGACCCTGAGGACACACAGCACAGGGGGGCGGGGGGGGGGGGGGAGAGGTGCCAACCTCGCCCACATCTTCTGCAGAGGACAAACAACACCACTTGTGTTTCCCTCCTCATGATCTGGGCAGGCATCTCAGGAAGCCCTGCGTTCCAGAGCTGGGTTTTGTTTCTCTGGCATTCCCTCACACTTCATTGTTTGTGTCTCAGCCTAGGCTCCCTCTGTTAAAACAACAACAACAAAACGAAGGGGGGGGGGCTGCTCCCCTGCCTGTCCCTCCTGCTCTCATTTGGGTTTGAACTCTCATTTGGGAGAGACTTGGGGGGGGGGGTGTCACACTATAAAAGACTGATTTGCAAACTGCGAGGCCAGCAGCAGCCCTTCCACAGGGCATCTGTCTGTCCCCCAGGCTTGGGGATCATCTTTGGGGGGGGCAGGGCTTCCCCAGGTTGGAACAGTTCCCCCCCCCCCCAACGTGGGCGCAATTGAGAAGGCTGGGAGCTTCCTCCGCAGGCGATGGGCCTGGGCGGGCCTAGCTGCTGAGCTGTGCCGGGCCACGCTGGCACGCCCTGGGTCCATGTGGGACAGTGGCACCCTGACAGCTGCAGAGCATTGCACTGGCAAACGACGCAGTAGCGGGAGGTGACCGCGCTGCCAGCCCAGGCTGAGCACAGAGAGGCGGGCGGTGAGGCACTGGGGCCCAGCCAGGACACCCAGAGATCTTCCTGCCCACCTCCTCCTGCTCACCTCTCCCTTCAGCGGCAGGCCCTTAAGTAAAGCTGGGAGCCCAACAGGAAAGGGCCAGCAGACCCAAGTTCAAACCCAGCCACTTGCTCTGAACAGTTTCCATCACCGTCCCTGTCTCCCGGGCAAAACCAGCCCAGGCCCAAGAAGTCACCCCAGCCTGACAGAAGACTGACTGCGTGAAGGCCTGAGGCTTGAGGCCCAGAGTATCACAGTTCAAAGCCAGTCCTTGAGACTCCCTCCCTAAATAAGCATAAAAAGCCAGGCAGGAAGCATGGCTCAAGTGGTAGAGCGCCAGCCATGAACAAACACAGCCAAGCACAGCCGAGCAGGGGAGCCAAGGGGAGAGGAGGCTGGGGTATGAGTCACGATTGTCAAACCTGTGAGGCCAAGGACCTCAGGCTGCCAGGGGTAGGCTGCAGCCAGCGGGATGATGACCAGCCTCCGAATGCCTGCCCCAAGGCACTGGGGGGTGGGGGAGAGTCGGGAGGGAAGGCTCTAATCTGCCGGGGATCAGGAGTGTGCGGACCACGGGCAGGCCCTGCAGTGAGCCCTCTGGATGAAGGCCGGCAGTCATCCTCAGATGAAGGTGGCAGAAGGAGGCTTGCCTCACTCGGGCTGGCCAGCATTGCCTGCGGGGGGGGGGGGGGGGGGGGAGGCTGGAGCTTGCCTCAGCACACCCAGACTTGTTGGCAAATCCTGAGTCACCCGAAGCCAGAAGGGCAGTCTGGGTGGGGACACTGTGCTGCCTCCAATACTCAGGGCCTTCTAGAAGATCTTCCGGCTGCCTGCTGCTGCACTCCCCTGCAGCCCATCTCTCCCTTAGTCCCCTGACCTCCCAGATGAAGGGTCCTGGGCCTAGCAGTGCTGGACAGGCCTCTTGTATCATGTGCAGTACGCACCAAGTTGGCTCAGCCTCAAGAGCTCCGGGATCACATTCCACAAGCCCCCACCCCGGGGGTCCCAGGAGCCCGCTCTCTGTCACCCTTCTGGCCTGATGCTTCTTTTTTTTTTTTTTTTTTTTTTGGGGTCCGGTCATGGGGCCTGAACTCTGGGCCTGGGCGCTGTCCCTCAGCTCTTCAGCTCAAGGCTTGAGCTCTACCACTTGAGCCACAGCGCCACTTCCGGCTTTTTTCTTATGTGGTGCTGAGGAATTGAACCCAGGGCCTTGAGCATGCAAGGCAAGTGCTCTACCACTGAGCCACCTTCCCAGCCCCTGGCCTGATGCTTCTTTGATTGCTCTACTGGGGTTATTCTTGCAGTAATTTTGGCTGCAAATGACTCTAAAGTAAAAGAAGAGTCACAATTCCCTTTTTTGGTTTTGGATTTTTGTTTTGGTGTATGTGTGTATATATGAACTGGGACTTGAACTCAGGGCCTAAGTGTTGTCCCTTAGCTTTTATATTCAAGGCTGGCACTCTACCACTTGAGCCACGGCTCTACATCAGGCTCTAGCTAGGATTATAGACGTGAGTCACCAGCACCCAACTCCATGAAACTCTTATCTTCAAGTAACCAGCAAAAAGCCAGAACTGGAGGTATGGCTCAAGTTGTTAAACTTGAGTCTTTTTTTTTTTTTTTTTTTTTGTCAGTCGTGGGGCCTGAACTCTGGGCTTGGGCGCTGTCCCTGAGATCCTCAGCTCAAGGCGAGCACTCTAGCACTCTACCACTTGAGCTACAGCGCCACTTCTGGTTTTCTAGTAGTTTATTGGAGATAAGAGTCTCACAGACTTTCCTGCCTGGGCTGGCCTTGAACCATGATCCTCAGATCTCAGCCTCCTGAGTAGCTAGGATTACAGGCATGAGCCACAGGCACCCAGCTTAAACCTTAGTCTTGAACAACCAAGCCAAGCAAAAGTGTGAGGCCCTGAGTTTAATCTCCAGTACCAACACAAAATAAATAAATGTTGTAGAAAGAACTCTCTCTCTCTCTCTCTCTCTCTGGCTGTCCTAGGCTTGGTCCTCTGGTCTGCAGGAAGGCTAGCCTCTCTCTGTCTCTCTCTCTCTCTCTCTGTGTACCACCTAGGCAAGACACCAGACCCTTGGGCTGGAGCTGTCTCTGCCATGGGTCCCTTACCAGGCACTAGACTCCAGATGGAGGGGAGAAGAGAAGGTTCTCCGGAAACTGATCATTAAATGAACGTATGCCAGACTCAAGACAACAGAGATCTGTTGCATGCCTGGGACTGACCTCCCATTCGCTCAGCTGGGTGGGGCCAGTCTTGGCCACAGATGATGGCCCACCCAGAAAGGACAGCTGGGCCAATCAGCGAGAAAGGAGTGAGGAGAGGTCAGCTTCCTCCTCCTCCCTCTCTGTTGCTCTTCTCATCTTCCTCATCATTTGGTAGCTGGAGTCTAGGTGTGTGGCCCCTAAACCATCTAGCCTTTCGTTCAAGTCAACTCAAGAAATGCAGTTTTTCAGCCAGGTGCTGGTGGCTCATGCCTATAATCCTAGCCGATCAGGAGGCTGAGATCTGAGGATGATGGTTCAAAGCCAGCCCGGGCAGGAACATCCGTGAGACTCTTATCTCCAATGAACCACTTGAAAACCAGAAGTGGCGCTGTGGCTCAAAGTGGTAGAGGGACAACTTGAGTCAAAAGAGCTCAGGGACAGCGCCCAGGCCCCGAGTTCAAGCCCCACAACCAACAAAAAAGGGATGTGTGGTTTTGAGCGCCAGTAAGTGTGCAAGCTCATGCACACGCACTCTTCAGTACCCAGGGCATAAACAGGCAGAGATCCATGAGGCCACATGGCCACAGAAAGGAGGGCCTGGCCGGGGGCTCCAAGTAGGAGAGGAGGTATTGCTTTAGGTCTCAGCCCAGCCCCACCCACATCCAGAGGTTGGCGGGCTGAGGAAGGGGCTG